CTCTCACACACACACACACACACACACACACACCAAGATGTTGCTTCTATTGGACAAGGACAAAGACTTTGCAAGTTGAATTGGCAGTACAAGAAATTTGTTTTTTCTGTTTAGTTTTGTTTTTTTTAAACCGACGACACAGCACGACAACCTACTAGCACGACACACACACATTCACGAGTGTGGCACAGTGCACATCATCAGCACGATTCGATCAAGTATGGTACAGCACTTCATGCGGACAGCTAGCATGTCCGTGTTTTGTGATCAATTGGAGAAGTGCGACAAACATTTAGAAAAATTCTGTCGCCTTGCTCCAAATTAAAGATAATCGAGGAATACCGGGCTTGTGCTGTCGTACACATGCATTGCTGCGCATGTTCCAAAATTGCACTCCTAAAATTCGTGAGCTGTTTGGCTGGCTGTCAGTGTTCCCTGTACACTGTTCACTGTGATGCTGCTCCAAAGACAGCAATACAAAACTCTAAGGATAGCTGCAAATATGCATGATGTATCTTAACGATTATATTACAATGAAGCGCCCAGCTGTGTCGATCTCGCCGCTCGAGCGTCTGGGTGAGGGAGGCTAGCTTAAACAATTTGTAATAATGACTATATCATTTGCCGTATATGCGCAAGAATGATAAAGCATTTTTGCATCAAGTTATATAATATATAGCATAGTTTTATCTAGTGAGGTTGGGATATGAGGAGCACAGAGATGAATGGAGAGGTTAGGAGGCTCAGGCGCTGGGGTAGTGTCAGAGTTAGAGGTCAGGAGCGCGAGGAGAAGCATTATGGTAAGCGATGGTGGAGTGACAGATGGAAGAAAGGCTAAGTGATGACGAGGGGCAGCACGGATTGGAAGGGTGATTGAGACTGCTGTCTCCTTTTACCGGTGATTCAGTCGGCTGCTGCGTGGTGCATTCTCGCATGGTGCTCATGCGCTGTCGGCTAATACCTGTGTTTACTGGTGGCAGCTCACTACATATTTTATTTTTTGCAGTATGTGTGTTCCTAAAATAATAATATTAGTAGATACGTAACGTGAGATAAGTTGAATAGAATAATTATGACCGAAGCAATGAGCTATAAAGAATATAGTACTTAAACGCCGCTTTTGTCTCTCACAACTGCAAGTTCTCAACAAAAAGGGGGGGAGGGCGGAAGGCCTTGCCCTGCGGAGTTCATTAGCTGAGTCATAGTATCAAAGAGTATGCAGTAGGATAAATTAAAGACGTATAGATAAAAGGGAAACTGCAGAACAGTAGTAGAGGCACGTGACGGGAATGAAGACGAGGCCCTATGTGAGGGATGAGTGGGCGATTGGAGACAGAGACTATACAACTGCGTGAAAAAGGTAGGGGTGGCGGGGGGCTATGAACAAAAAAAACAGACATGGGCAGTGTATGTGCTGTAGCTGGAAGAGGAAATAAACAGCTCAGAGGAGGAAAGCAGAGAGAAACAGGGAGATAGGGTAAGAGGCCTACCCAAAGATGAGAATTTGTGTGCGGGGCGCTTTCGGTGATCAAGTCACGGACAGAGCTGGTGGTGTCAGCGCTTCGGAGGGTTTTTCTCAGAAGATTGCGGTAGGAAAGCATAGAACGAGTGATGACAAACATGGCTGATGCAGACTGTGAGTGTGGCGCGGCACTGCTTAGTTGCTGCCTTATTTGCCTCCTCGATAGATAAGGGGTAGAAAAAAAAAAGAATCGCACAAGCAACATAGAACAACAAAAAAAAAAAAAGAAAACAAAAAAATAAAAAAAAAAGAAAACTTCTCCGTGCTGGTCGCTTGTACCCAAGTTGTATCATACCTCTAGGAAGCGAGAGCTGCTAGACTTAGTGTGGAAAGGCTCAGACCACATGCGCCGCAAATCCCCCTGTGGGCCACAAACACCAAGACAAACACAAGTTACGAGTCTTTAAGCGAATCACTCAAATGTCAGTAGATTGCAGACAGCAGTCAACCGAAGGTATTATGAAAAAACAAAAATTTGAGTAATCAAAAATGACAGGAAATAATTTATCCATTAACTACGACAATTCCTGGTTTTCTAACTGTGCCTGACCCCAATTGTGATTATACTGCGTAAGCTAGACGGTGTTGTGTCACGCTGTAGGTGTACATCATAACACATCGATTATCTCCGTTCTCGGTGCTGCTGTGTAGCATGGACAGTCCCGTTTGCATACGAACCGGTAGCCTTCTGTTACCCTCGAGGTGTCGCAATATGATGCCAGGTGTCCACCTTACTATATTTAGAGAGGAGCGCTGTAAAAGACTTTGGTGAAGTTGAGTGCTGATACGAGAGGCACTGATGTGTAAACTTCTTGTGAGCGTCAGTGATCAGCGTGGCTATACTGTCTGATCAGGTGATTCATGAAGAGTGAATTACTGAAGTGTGAGTTATTTCCTGCGACGTTAGTAGCCTGAAGCGGCTGTGTCTCGTTTGTTATCGGCTGTGAGTTTATGCTATGAGAGAGTCGCACGTGTGCGACGGCAGGTAGGCGGCGCAGATATGATAGCGCAGAGGCTTGCGTAGTGGGGAGTTAGCGCGCGTTTCTAGGGCGGAGCGACTGTATGCACGGGGAGTTTTTGCAGGGTTAGGTCCAAGCGTCAATACCTATAAAAGACGCCCTAAATGTCGGCTAAGATTGTAAGAGGTTGATGTGCAGTGCTTATGGACTGCAGGTTTTGAAACCATCTGTATTTGAACGATGCGGCAGGCCAACTATGGTGTTCCTTCCATAAAGTGGAGCGCGCTGCTTGTCATATGCCTGTGTGGTTTGTTTTTTTTTCCTTAAAAATGGATCTGTAAACTTATTAGTTAAGAGTATGGGCATTACAGTGTTGTGTTGAAGGACATCGAAGATTAACACCGACACACATGGGTAGTCAGTTGTGAGTTGTGCTCGAGCTTTAGATCTTAAGTCAGTGCTGCTGACATGCACATACAATAGGTCTACACATTGACTAGTGCACACGTAGTATTGACTATGGCGAGAACACTATTAGGGTCCCCGAGCCTGGGATTTTGGACGCAGCTGTGGTTGATCAACACACACAGCATGGGTGCATCTGAGCGATGATTGCAGTGGTTTTATATCGACACGTATTAGGGTGATCGGCGGTAGGTGTTTGACACACCAAGTCCTCTATACTTTGTTCTTCTCAAACACGCACACGGGTTCGAACACATAACTTATATCTATATGATGTGAGTTGGTTGGAGACAAGAAGTTTCTTTTTTTTTTTAGTTTTTTTTTTTTTGTTTCTAGCTATCAGCATAAACACGCTAGACTGAACGCGCCTGAGTGTGATAAGATGAGAGAATAAGAACATTACTGTGATCAAGTATGAGTTTTCTCCCTCGTTAAGTGCAGCGAGTGATTGTGGCCGTTGAAATTAAAAGGAAGCATGCTGACATTTAATCAATGTCCTTTTTTCCTTCTGTTTTCCTAGTTTAAAAGTCCCCTAGAAACCAAAACACCAGTTTAGTTTAACCTTTATAGCAGGCAACATGGCAAGCCTTTAGCCACTTTCGACTTTCGAAAGACAATGTTACATCGTTTATCGAAAATTGAGAGGGTTGACCACACAAAGACTTTTTTTATTTATTTTTTAAATACTTGAACAGCTGGTCGTTTTTTTTTTTTTTTTTTATTTTTTTTTTTTTGAATTTAGTTTCACTTCTTTAAAAAAAAAACAAATTTTCCATTCCAAAATCCATTTTCTCACACATTAAAACCACCCACAAAAAACAAAAACCCCACAATTAGATTCACACTTCTCTTAAAAGCAGCACAAAGCAAGAGCTTATTTTTTCCCCCCCCCACACGTAGTCTTTCTTTCTTTCTTTCTTTTGTTATTTCTAAATCAGAACTGCAACAGCTAGATTTTTGCCACAGTCCATGGCTGTTATTATACCTTCAGGTAGGCCATGGTGAGCAGAGGCAGCAGGGTGAAGGGCACCAGGTAGAGCAGAGCGGGCTGTGCAGCACGATGGATCCTGGAGGCCACGGTGGCAGTCAGCAGTCCTGAGGAAACATCAACAACATGTCAGAAATGTCACAAATACTTAAGACAAAACATTTTGAAAGGTCACAGCTTAAAAAAACAAAACAAAAATTCACCACTGCCTAACACTGAGACAATATAACCTTGACCTTATCCATCCCTTCATTGATTGCTTACCTACAAAGTATCCGATGAGAGTGCAGTGGAAATAGGAGACGCGCTGCATGCGTCCAGACATGTTACCGGGCCCTGGGACTTCCCCGGTCGCTTGCTTCTTGTAGTTATCATAACGCAGGACAAAGCATAACAGCAGCCCTGGCATCACGATGTCTCCTATTCCCAGCATCGAGAAGTGACTTCCTGTGGAACTGCGCAGGAGCAAAGAGCAAAAAAGAAGAAATGATGGCAAATCAATTCCTGTGTCTTTTACTTCCATTTCATCACTACTTGGCTAAAGCCAACACAAGGTCCTGAGCAAATATCAGACTGAAATCGGCCAAAAGTCAGTCACCATGGTAGCCGCACTGTGGTTACTACGATCACTGAAACAGAAAAGGAACTGACAGCTTTAGGTGTCAGCTTCAGCTGTATTATGTTAACTGCAGCTCTGTTAGTGCTACTAACACACTCATTTTTAAAGGGGCCCTAGAACTGCTTATTACCAGCTATTATTTATAATAATAATAATAATAATAATAATAATAATAATAATAATAATAATAATCTTTATTTAACTTATAATTCAACCTACACCTGGAAGGCACTTGTGGCTCCTCTCCCTTTAAGCCTAGTTTCTTCTGACCTGCTGCGCTGGAGACCATGGACCATATTAAGTATATCTCCTCTCTGACATAATACAAGAGTCAAAAAACTGTCCAAAATGGAGCACTTAATGCAGTCTGAGGCTTGAGCTTCACTTGATGTTACCTCAGTAAAGAAAGTTATGCAGAGTAAGATAGAATATGTGATTGGTTTAGTTTGCTAGCAGGATCATGCAACAAAATTATAGCTGGAGATGATTAACCTCTGGCATTGGTCCAAATCTGGGTTTAGATTCGGTTTCCAAGTTTCCATTTGTAAGGACTGTTTACCATTGCAAGACGGGGCAAAAAATTTCACATCATATCCTGAAAAATATGCAATTCTGAAAATAAATAAATAAATAAAAAATAAAAAGGAAAAGGGAAAACATCAAACTAATATTGATCCAGGGACTCGATTCATGCAATTCAATCCTTTAAATGGAGGTATAGAGAATCAGCAAGGTCATGTTTGCAACTCATTCTATGGCAGGAAATAAAACATTAACAGCTGTTTTCTCACTTAATCAATATAACTCCAAAGCAGAGTACGAGGAAAACATAACACATCAAACCTTTCTGAAGCACAAGCAGGTTTTGTCTGACGGTGTTAAGTTCATGTTCAGTGTTGTGCGTAATCCGTATGCAGCTAGTCATACAACCAAAGAATACATACTCATTGTGACAAAGGGACAAAAGCAAACAAACAAACAAACCCCACAAACTGGTATACTAATTCACTGACAGTTTCAGCTATTAGGATGTACCCTTTAGCATTAATCTTGAGGCAGATCTTAAGAGGTAGTTAAAATGTTTGTCATTTGTTTCCTGAAGGTGTTGTAAATTTGTTGGTGACACCAACAGCCGCGAGATAACAATACTTTAGGATTCACCTCGTGGGACCTGAAAGATGTCTTTTCAAGGGTCGGTAACATTTAGCAAACTTAAATGTCAAAAAGCTGAGCGGTGTGATGAAGTGAGCATCAGTGACTGAATAAAGGTCACACATCATGCACATGCAGAGGCTGATCACAAGCAAACGACTCGGAGATCCCAAATGAATGTGTACCAAGCACACACTGCACTGCTTTATGATTGAGAGCAGCATTACCTGGGAAAGACGAGTTTGCCGGGCAAGGAGAGGCGGGGTACGTCACGGCCCATCCCCGGCCCCAAATGGAGCTTCCTGGACAGAACATCTATGGGATTTTCAGCAGGCTGAGTGGCTACTTTGACCATCACATTACTATTGAAGATGTATGCTGAGAAAAACACCTGGAAAGAAAGAGAGCCGGCTGTTAACACTTATCAGGCTTCACCACAACCCAAAGTGACTGTTGCTACTTTTCTCATAAAACTCAAAACACAATGTTTATGTCATGAAAAGCAAGAAAATCCCACTTAAAAGAAGGTGGCTGCAGCCAGTTTGATATTAAGTAACACGGAAATTCCACAGCAGGGACGGCTTATAAATTTGTCAATGCCCAAGTTTTGATAAGAGGCACCATCAGTATTTATGCACTTTTAATTCACTCTGACAGAGCAACTCATAACAGCTCTTTAATAAAGACAAAGCTACCGGTCTCAGGAGATTATGTCTGACTACTGTGTGTTTGCATTATGTGCTCTTCAGTCATAGCTGACAGGGCAGACTCTTCAAGAGCGTGTGCTCACTTTGATGTATTTAATACACACACACACACACACACACACACACACATCTGTTGCTTCTATTGGACAAGTCGACAAACATTTAGAAAACTGTCTCCAATAGATGGACGCTTGCTTGTCGACGCAGCTGGCAGTCAAAATTCACCAAAAATTCGGCTGTTGGCTGGCGTCAGTTTCCCACCCTGTTCAACATGCTCCCAAACACAAATACAAACTCAAGATACTGCAAATACATGTGTACACATATATACAAATAGAAGCGCCCCCCACCCGCCGACGCTGGGGGGAGGAGGCAGCTTAACAATTTATAATGCATCATTTCTGTATATGCCAAGAATAAAACTTTTCTAAATAAAATACATAGTTATCTGTGAGGGTGGGGAATGAGGACAGCAGATGAACAGAGAGGAGGAGCTCGCGGGGAGTGTCAGAGGAGAGCAGGAGCGCCGAGGAGAAGCCATTATGGAGCGATGGTGGAACAGATGGGAGAAAGCTAAGGTGAACGAGGGCAGACGGATGGAAGGGGAAGACTCTTCTCCTTTACGGTGTCGCTGCTCGTGGGCATTCTCCTGTGCCGCTGCAATACTCCACCTCAACTCCATTTTTTTCAGTTGTTCCATAATAATAATAATAATAACAACAATATTAATAATAATGACCACGACAATGCTAAAAAAATATATATAAACCCCTGCTATGTCTCACAACTGCAAGTCCACAAAAAGGGGGGAGGGGAGGCCTTGCCCTCGAGTTCATCTGAGTCATAGACAAAGAGATGCAGAGGAAATTAAAGACGTAGAAAAAGGAGGAAACTGCAGACAGAGAAGAGGCCTGACGAATGAGACGAGGCCATGTGAGGGAAGTGGCAATTGAGACAGACTATACACGCGTGAAAAAGGAGGGGGGCGGGGGGCAGAACAAAAACAGCATGGGCAGGATGTGCTGTAGTGAAGAGGAAATAAACAGCAGAGAGGAAGCAGAGATGAAACAGGGAGGATATAGGGACCAAAGATGAGTTGTGTCGGGGCGTTGTGATCCACACACTGGTGTCCCTTCGGAGGGTTTTCTCAGAAGATTGGTGGAAAGCATGAACGAGTGATGACAACATGGCCTCACTGTGAGTGTGCCCTCTCTCCTTCCCTCGAATTAAGGGAGAAAAAAAAAACCCCAACAACAACAACAAAAAAAAAAAAAAAAAAAAAAACTTCTCCGTGCTGGTCGCTTGTCCCAAGTTGTATCATACCTCTAGGAAGCGAGAGCTGCTAGACTTAGTGTGGAAAGGCTCAGACCACATGCGCCGCAAATCCCCCTGTGGGCCACAAACACCAAGACAAACACAAGTTACGAGTCTTTAAGCGAATCACTCAAATGTCAGTAGATTGCAGACAGCAGTCAACCGAATTCTGTTTTCTTACCCCTCCCAATTCAACTGCGTAAGCTACGGTGGCCCCTGTAGGACAAACAACTCTCGCTGCTGTTCATCCCTCTGTTTACCTCAGGTGTCAATATGCCAGGTGTCCACCTCTATTTAGGAGGAGGCTGTAAAACTTTGTGAAAGTAGTCTGATACGAGGCAACGACTCAGTGAAGCTCACTTCTGTCTCATGAAAGTGATACTGAGGTGAGTTATCGAGCGTATCCTGAACCCTTCTGTGAGTAAGCGCTGCCGTTTTTGCAGGGTTAGGTCAACATACCTAAAAGACTATCGGCAGGATGGTGATGTCCATCTCAAACACTGTATTCAAGATGGCAGGCCAACATGGTGGCTTCCACAAAGTGGCGCCTGCTTCTATGCTGTTGTTGTTTTTTCTTAAATGGACTAATTTTAAGTTTAAGAGTATGCATTAGTTTGTTGGAAGGCCGCACACACACACACACACCCACACACACACACACACACACACACACACACACACACACACACACACACACACACACACACACACACACACACACACCATGAACAGAGACATTCAAAACATCAAGACTTTGTGTGTGGGTGTATGACAAGTTTTTTCTGTTAAATAAACCCTGACTGAACCTTTAAATACACAAGTATGAGTTTCTTGTTGAAGTCAGATGAATGTGCGTTGAAAAAGCATGCTGACATTTTATCACTGTCTTCTGATTTTCCCTAGTTTAAAGTCCCAGTAACCAGTTTATTAAACACTTATGCACAACATGGGCAAGCCTTTAGCACTTTCGAAGACAATGTTACCATTTATAGAAATTGAGTGCAGTTTATAGTTTCACTTAACAATTAGATTCACACTTCTCTAAAAGCAGCACAAAGCAAAGAGCTTATTTTTTCCCCCCCCCACACGTAGTCTTTCTTTCTTTCTTTCTTTTGTTATTTCTAAATCAGAACTGCAACAGCTAGATTTTTGCCACAGTCCATGGCTGTTATTATACCTTCAGGTAGGCCATGGTGAGCAGAGGCAGCAGGGTGAAGGGCACCAGGTAGAGCAGAGCGGGCTGTGCAGCACGATGGATCCTGGAGGCCACGGTGGCAGTCAGCAGTCCTGAGGAAACATCAACAACATGTCAGAAATGTCACAAATACTTAAGACAAAACATTTTGAAAGGTCACAGCTTAAAAAAACAAAACAAAAATTCACCACTGCCTAACACTGAGACAATATAACCTTGACCTTATCCATCCCTTCATTGATTGCTTACCTACAAAGTATCCGATGAGAGTGCAGTGGAAATAGGAGACGCGCTGCATGCGTCCAGACATGTTACCGGGCCCTGGGACTTCCCCGGTCGCTTGCTTCTTGTAGTTATCATAACGCAGGACAAAGCATAACAGCAGCCCTGGCATCACGATGTCTCCTATTCCCAGCATCGAGAAGTGACTTCCTGTGGAACTGCGCAGGAGCAAAGAGCAAAAAAGAAGAAATGATGGCAAATCAATTCCTGTGTCTTTTACTTCCATTTCATCACTACTTGGCTAAAGCCAACACAAGGTCCTGAGCAAATATCAGACTGAAATCGGCCAAAAGTCAGTCACCATGGTAGCCGCACTGTGGTTACTACGATCACTGAAACAGAAAAGGAACTGACAGCTTTAGGTGTCAGCTTCAGCTGTATTATGTTAACTGCAGCTCTGTTAGTGCTACTAACACACTCATTTTTAAAGGGGCCCTAGAACTGCTTATTACCAGCTATTATTTATAATAATAATAATAATAATAATAATAATAATAATAATAATAATAATAATCTTTATTTAACTTATAATTCAACCTACACCTGGAAGGCACTTGTGGCTCCTCTCCCTTTAAGCCTAGTTTCTTCTGACCTGCTGCGCTGGAGACCATGGACCATATTAAGTATATCTCCTCTCTGACATAATACAAGAGTCAAAAAACTGTCCAAAATGGAGCACTTAATGCAGTCTGAGGCTTGAGCTTCACTTGATGTTACCTCAGTAAAGAAAGTTATGCAGAGTAAGATAGAATATGTGATTGGTTTAGTTTGCTAGCAGGATCATGCAACAAAATTATAGCTGGAGATGATTAACCTCTGGCATTGGTCCAAATCTGGGTTTAGATTCGGTTTCCAAGTTTCCATTTGTAAGGACTGTTTACCATTGCAAGACGGGGCAAAAAATTTCACATCATATCCTGAAAAATATGCAATTCTGAAAATAAATAAATAAATAAATAAATAAATAAAAAATAAAAAGGAAAAGGGAAAACATCAAACTAATATTGATCCAGGGACTCGATTCATGCAATTCAATCCTTTAAATGGAGGTATAGAGAATCAGCAAGGTCATGTTTGCAACTCATTCTATGGCAGGAAATAAAACATTAACAGCTGTTTTCTCACTTAATCAATATAACTCCAAAGCAGAGTACGAGGAAAACATAACACATCAAACCTTTCTGAAGCACAAGCACGTGTTTTGTCTGACGGTGTCTAAGTTCATGTTCAGGTTGTCATCCAACACAAAGAATACATACTCATTGTGACAAAGGGACAAAAGCAAACAAACAAACAAACAAACCCCACAAACTGGTATACTAATTCACTGACAGTTTCAGCTATTAGGATGTACCCTTTAGCATTAATCTTGAGGCAGATCTTAAGAGGTAGTTAAAATGTTTGTCATTTGTTTCCTGAAGGTGTTGTAAATTTGTTGGTGACACCAACAGCCGCGAGATAACAATACTTTAGGATTCACCTCGTGGGACCTGAAAGATGTCTTTTCAAGGGTCGGTAACATTTAGCAAACTTAAATGTCAAAAAGCTGAGCGGTGTGATGAAGTGAGCATCAGTGACTGAATAAAGGTCACACATCATGCACATGCAGAGGCTGATCACAAGCAAACGACTCGGAGATCCCAAATGAATGTGTACCAAGCACACACTGCACTGCTTTATGATTGAGAGCAGCATTACCTGGGAAAGACGAGTTTGCCGGGCAAGGAGAGGCGGGGTACGTCACGGCCCATCCCCGGCCCCAAATGGAGCTTCCTGGACAGAACATCTATGGGATTTTCAGCAGGCTGAGTGGCTACTTTGACCATCACATTACTATTGAAGATGTATGCTGAGAAAAACACCTGGAAAGAAAGAGAGCCGGCTGTTAACACTTATCAGGCTTCACCACAACCCAAAGTGACTGTTGCTACTTTTCTCATAAAACTCAAAACACAATGTTTATGTCATGAAAAGCAAGAAAATCCCACTTAAAAGAAGGTGGCTGCAGCCAGTTTGATATTAAGTAACACGGAAATTCCACAGCAGGGACGGCTTATAAATTTGTCAATGCCCAAGTTTTGATAAGAGGCACCATCAGTATTTATGCACTTTTAATTCACTCTGACAGAGCAACTCATAACAGCTCTTTAATAAAGACAAAGCTACCGGTCTCAGGAGATTATGTCTGACTACTGTGTGTTTGCATTATGTGCTCTTCAGTCATAGCTGACAGGGCAGACTCTTCAAGAGCGTGTGCTCACTTTGATGTATTTAATGGAAATTCTACTGAATGCCATAAATGAAATGTATATGGCACTCAGCTTTCCTTACCCTTTTACCCATGTGAATTTTAAATTTCTATAAATCTGAAGGAAAGCGGCATGTTTGTTTGCAAAGCTGCTGCTGTACTGCTTTCCGATTCTGGTGCTTATGGCATTTGTCAAATTCAAAGGCAACTGACTTGGCTTTAAATTAGGGTAACTCTCAATACTGGTGTAAAAATGTCTGTACTTAGCGCAAAATACAATTGACCATTTTTAAGCACTTTTCAAAATGCTGTTTTTTCTGGGAAAAGCAAACGGCTTCATCAGTGGACAGCAGACATCCACATTTAACCCATTCCTTAGTGCTTTACAAAATAAAATCAACAAAAAATTTTATTTTGTAAAAAAAAAATAAAAAAAAATCATAGGGCTGTCATCAAGGTAATTTTGAATTCTTCCTGAACATGAACTGGGGGCTGGAGCCTATCCCAGCTACTACAGGGCGAGAGGCGGGGTACAGGTCACCAGCTCTTTGCAGGGCTAACACATAGAGACAGACAACCAGTCACACTTACATGGGCAATTTAGATTCACCAGTTTGCCTAAATAGCCTCACCTTTAGACTATGGGAGGAAGCCGGAGTATCTGGAGAGAACCCATGCAAACAGGGGGAGAACATGCAAACTCCACACAGAGAGGCTTCGAACAGGTGGTTGAATTGAACTCATGACCTTCTTGCTGTGAAGCAACAGTGCTAATCACCGTGCCACTGTGCTGCCCCAATCTCAGATATTGACCGATATTTTTCTTCCAGGTAGACGAAACAAACAGATTTCATAACATGGATGAAGGTTGTTTTTTCTGTCCCTTCCTTTTCATTTAAAGCCATATACTGACAGATTGAAACATTTTTAATAGTGGTCCTCCAATAAACCGGCCAGGTTCTCTTCTTAAATATACACCGAATGTCACCCAAGTATACAACTACGTCCATAAGTATTTCGATCATAAGACACTTGTTTGTAAGTTCTGTCTTTGCATACCAGAGGTGTAGTTTAATAAGTTTTAATTCAAGAGATTTTAATAAGTGCTGCATCGTCTGTTTAGAAATCACTGCCAGTTTCATACACATATATATATTTTTATGTATATATGTCTTGACTCTTTTTCTCATTGCTGAAGCCACAACTGCAGATGTCTTTGATAGACAACTGTCTAATATAAAATATGGATGCAGCTACCGGGTCAGAAAAATGAAGCCAGTGCAGACGTGGGAAGTGTCTTAATCCTGGAATCTATCTGAAGGCGACTAGATAGTGATGGCTATAATTTCAAAAAGACTTCTGGTCCTATAGAGGTCTAAGGGAAAAAACTGCTTTCTGACTTTATGCCTGTATACACCTTCCTTGAGCTGAAGGGCTCAGTCAATCATTTCGGGTAATTTTGAACACGAAAATAAATAATTAAGAAAATTAAGCCTGTTATGTAAATCTTCGTCGTGGCTTGTTTCAACATAGAGGAATTTCTGTGGTATGAATCACAAGTCAATAGAAAATGAGCATGTGGCTTCACAGTCAGACCTGTCCTTGTCACTTTTGTGGGGTTTATTTACAATTAAGGAAGCGAGAGAGCAGAAATGCTCAACCTGAGGCTTCACAATCAGGACTTCAGAAATGAATGGGTGGCGTTATGACGGCACACTTTTAAAACAGTCTCTGCCATTATTAAAGTTGTTGTTCTGCTCTGGAGATCTGCTGTGAGCTGGAGGACAACATGAACCCACAGCAGGTAAAGGGCTGCTGCTGTGATGCTGTAGCTCATCTAGGTTGCTGAGCAGAACGAGTGGTCTAAGACAGTGGCGCTGAAGACCATCCACGAGATGAACTTACTGCAGAGACAGCTAAACATCGCTCTATTATTTATAGACACAAAACGTAAACCTTTTGTGCATGTAAACACAGATACACAACTATTTTTTTGTGTCTTAAAATATATTTTTTTCCTCTGTTTTGAGCAGCTCTAAGCAGTACTCAACACACTACCTACAAAATGGAAGAACTGTTTAACTGACCAGACATGGGGCTGTTGAAAGATGTGTAGCATTGTAAAATTAGAGGATATTAAACAAAGAAGAGAGACATACCAAAAGTCTGCCATAAAATGCTAGCAAGACTTAGATGCTGAAATGTCTTAGTGAATTAGTGATCTAGTGTTTCCTGGACTAGCACCCTCTGTAGCAAGATCACCTTCATGATTCATTTAACATGTTAATTCGATCAGTTTTGCTTTCTGCCAAATGAATTTTTAATTTTTCATGATTTATTTAATTTCTGCACAGCAGTCAATGCGATCAAGTTCTCCCCCAAACTCAATACTGTTCAATGTAAAGTGCCTCACTTTATCAGCAATGACAGACACCGGCCTGCAGGTTTGAGGAATAAATACAAAGCCTTTCATAATCGTGAATCATCATGTTTGTTTGTTTTTTGTTTATAAACAGAAATTTTCTCTTTGAATGTGTGCTTCATATATCGCAGTCTGTTTGCTGGGTCTCATGGAAGCTGCTTGTATGTGTTGCAGGTTTAATTTGGGTTGGGAGCATCTCTTACCCAGAAAACATCATAAATGAGCAGTCCTGACAGCAGCAGGCAAGACACCTTCAGACTGGGAAGTCGCACAAACGCTATCATGGCGACACACAAGCCCATGGCTAAAGCTGAAAGGAGAGGACAACATATAATTTCACATTTTCAAAAGAAATGAATGAAAACATCAACACGATAAAGCTGTTCAAATTATTTTCCTACTTGAAATTGATTTTCTCAGGGCTGCATAACTGAAGATGAATACCAACATATACCTTTATATTGAGCTGGGAGTCTGTCATTACCTTTTTCAAAGTCCAGCGAACTGGAATGCCAGTTCATGGGTTAGTCATGTGGGTAAAATATAGAACCAATGACTAATATTTAGCATGTACTTTTCCACCATTAGGAGAAGCACTTCTTTTAAAACTATGAATCATTACAAGCTGAAGATGTTAAAATGCTTACTTTTAGCATGCTGTGTAGCAGGGCATGTTAAAACAACACCAAATCACATATTGCAGTTACATTTCTGAAACCTGACTACTTTGTGTTTAAATTTCATTGCTGCGGCTCTTATCTGTGGATTCTCATTCTGTTTGTAGTATGAACTGAAGCAACATTCATACAAAAGTTAAGGCAGAGCAACGTACCGTCCATGAGAAGCCAGTGTCCAGTCAGCACCCAGATGAGCACCAGCATAACAGAGAGTGAGAAAGACAGGAGCTCAGCCAGAGTGAAGCGCCCACAGCAACCAAACGAAATCCTGCAATGAGACAAAAAGATACAGAAGTGACCCACTTAAATCTCACAGAGCACTTTGGGGTAAAATGCAGTGCAAAATAACTTTTACAGGTGGATATATTTCTTAAACTGAGGATCTGCTGCATATCGACTACTGTACAAAGAACTTATGTTTGAGACAACTGATGTTTGGATGAGTGAGAGTGGAAGGTAAGCCTGTAAACTGCTTTACAGATCAAGTTAACAGTAGTTATTTTGGTAAATAGCATGCAGGTGTCCATCTTTCAGCTAGGAGTTTTCCCTGGGGTGTGGCGCTGGCAGAGAAACCATTACATTGTGTGGGTTGTAGGGTGGAGCCTCAGTGGTTCAGGCTTGCTCTGGGGCATTCAGCTGATGCTTTGATGGGAGGGTGATGTCAGGAATTTTTGTCAAATGGCATGTGGAAAGCCGTTGCCATCATGACCATACTTTATTAAGTCTAAAGGGATTCTGGGTAGGTATGGAATTGTTTTGGGTGAGAGAAGCAGACAAAGATTTACTGAAAACTAGATATGGGGATTTGAATGTTTAAACAAAGTCGTTTTTATTTAAAGCAGTTTTTTCCGTGTCAGTTTATTGAGCAGATGAGCTCTCCTGGTGACTCTGTGTGAACTCCCCGGTGGAATAGAAGAGTTGATTATTCTAGATGTCTTAATCTAGAGACTATGCTGAACTTTTAAATGGAAATTATATGGAGCAAGGCAATGCAAGAGAATTTATTGAATTTTTACTACCTCCAAACATTCAAAATAAATTTCCCAGTGGTATTGAGCTTTGCATCTAGTTTCCGTTCTACTCTGTGAAATTAATGCAAAGCATTTCCATCACACCAGGAACAGCTGAGAGGATAAGGACATTTGATAAGCAGTAGTAAAAGACCTTTTTGAATACTTTGTGGAAGAAACGCAAAACACCACGGAGCAATTGAGCAGGAGCCAGAAAGACTATGAAACATGATTTTCTTACTTGTTCTGTGGGGAGCAGGGTCTGGTCAGATACTGGCACATTGGCAACAAAAGGAATGCAAATGCAATTGTTGCAAGAACTGAGGAGAGGAACAAAACACAGCAGTTAAATCCAAAGCCCGGTTCACTTCCGCTGCTTGTTCCAGTGGTTCCTGTCAGTTTAATGGGGCAGCTAATGCCTTCAGTTATAATGATCAATGCAGTAAAGATGTTTCCCCAGTGCGTAATTACACAACACTAACATAAAAGCTTCATAATAACTCCACAGCTTATTTTTTGTGGTATGTTCAAGACTGGTAGTTACCTGCAGTGCAGATGGTGAAGACCACCTGTACAGAGTCGAAGAAGAAGAACATGACTAGCAGAGACACTGAGGCTCCTATGGGCAGAAACAGGGCCTGTGTGGAGTCTATAGTCTGAATGCCTGAAAAGGAATTCAAACATTAATGTAAGATGGATTAAAATGCACAAAACAGGAATGGATATTATATATGACTTTAAAAACAACGGTACGAGCAGAGAATTTAATCATTCATAAGTTATTACCTGAAAATCCAAGAAAACGTTTAGCATGCACAGTTCAACTTTGCCCTGTATGTAATACTTACTGTTGTTTGTATTGTTGTTATTGAATGACCCCGTTGTTGAAGGGTTTCCATCCTTATCCTTGTCCTGGTTCTCACAATCCATGTTTAATGACCTGCACAAGGAAGGGAAAGAAAACCTATGTGTGATTCTGGCTTCCACAATTAGCTCCTCAAAGCATGTACATTAGTATGAGGTGAAGGGAGGTGAAAACGCAATCTCTGCAAATCAGATCTCATTGTGGATGCTCTAGCAGCTCAATTTCAGGGTCTTTTGCATGATAAGCACGTTGCAAAAGACCCTCACATTTAGCATGCAAGCTTTTAATTTTATTTTTTCATTTACTAGGCATAGGTTTTTTGTTTTTTTTTAATATTTGGTTTCTACATAAGCAGTGTATCTATTAAAGCAAAAAGACAAGAGACCTGTACTGCCAAAAATGCATATTTTAATATTTCTTTGTCACATGTCAAACAGATAATCAATACTGAGTTTCTTCATATTGTGCAGGCCAAGTCTGCATACACAGGTCCAGTCTGATGACTTGCTAATAAAGAGTGTGGGCAGAAGAGTGTAAAGCTTGTGCCTGAAAAAGCACATCTTTTCTTTGAGTCAGAATGCCTGACTCACAAATCCTGTGACTGGAAACCTTGAGTTCAAAAAATGTAATCCTTAAACATTAGCAAATTTAAACTTGATGCATGTTTTGAATTAATTATGCTTATCTACAGTAGCTTTTTTAAGTCATACTGTGATACCAATTTTCCATTCTGGTACTATAAGCCATACTACCAGAAGAGGGTGCAAACTGAAAATGTGGAGAAGCAGTGGAAATTACGTATGGATGCATGTTTATCTAAACAATTATAAGCAGACTTTATACCATTTATTGTTACACAGATAGAAAAATGCTCACTGGATATCTTTGAAAACTCGTTGCCTTCTCTAACCATCTTTTTTGCATTCTTTAACATCTATGGCACTTTTCATGTTAATAAAGTACAAGATTACTGTCACACTAGAGAGGCTGAGATCCTACAGATTTGATTCAAAGACAAAACGAAAGTTTTAAAGACCAACAACACAGTAACCAAAAATAAAAAATCCTGATATCAGTTACTTAAAGGTGCCACTTGTGTTTGTGGTTTGGCTGAGGTTCTTTAGATAGTCTCGTCAACAGCTGCAACAAGCTGATCTGAGATGCACGAGTAAGTCAAACTTGCTAATGTAAACCATCTTTTCAAACACACATGAAAATGTGGGAAATTCCAAAGTTTGGGAACATCAGTTCCCACCAAGTCGCATTTCAAACACTTCCTATACAAAAACGTATCTTGCCTCTGAGATCCTGCAAAAATAGTTTGAGGCCACTTATCACTTACAGTGGGATGCAAAAGTTTGAGCAACCTTAATAGTCATTATTTTCCTGTATAAATCATTGGTTGCTTCTGTAAATCCAATAAACTTTGTTTCACTTCTCAAATATCACTGTGTGTGTCTCCTATATCATATATTTAACTGACATTTTTTATCGTAAAAAATTGTATCACTTTTTGTTTCTAATTAAGATTTCACCTTAGCCAAGTTGGAATTTTTTTTACATTTTGATTTATTTTTGTCATCGCTGCCAGAGATTTATACTGTGCAAAATCAAATGGCATGCCTCCCAACAGCAGCCGCCTCAGACTAGAATGAGCAGAGTGCAATAAGTTAATAATAATTAACCAACTAAATTTTGTCTGATGCTTTGCAAGCTGCTGTGCTTGCTGGAGTGATGGCTGAGTGGCAGTTTCATGGTATAATCACAGCTATATGAATGTTTAGTGTTTCAACCTTTTTTCAGTACCACAAAATGTATAAAACATTTTAAGGTCATAAAAAGAGACAGAGACTCCCATAAGAGGCGTTCTCTGTTGTTTTTGGTTAGCTGTGATGCCCTATTTTACGGGAAAAGTCCTTAAAAGTTAAAAATCAGGCTAGCATTTCCATAGCAGAGCTGTGAACTAAGACTTTAAAACAAACTTATGTGGCACAAACTATCCTGGTCTCTTTGTGTAATGCAATGATGGACTCCATGTTGGATGTTAATGATGTCAGGTTACCTAGCTAGCAAATATTACCCAGCATGTGTGTAGCTTTGCAAATGTGCAGTTATTAGAGTTAAACTGTTTATTGTTCACAGATTATAGTGTGACTTATTAATTTCTATCATATAATTAGAAGTGTGAATAAGGCACCAGGCACACAGGAGCTAGAGTAGGATGTCTCGAGACCACTTTTACGTGGTCTTGTCTTGGTCTCGCTCTCTCGGTCTTGCTGTCTCAGATCAACATAGTGGTTGGGAGATTTGGAGTCAACAGTATCCATGACACACAACGCAACGTTCGATAATGTGTCATGCGCAAAAGCATCAGCTCTAAGAGCCGTGCTTAGAGAGTGCTTTGTAGTGAATCAGAAGAGTCGACTCCCATTGAGCGAGAGCCGGCTCCTCAATTTCCTTTCACTGCTCAGCTCTCACACAGTGGCTCAGCTATGGTCCAATCCCTCCATATTGTGGCCAATCACATGCGAGGATATAGGATAATATCATTATGTGGAAAACAGAGGGTGAGAGACACGACAGTCAAGTGGAGCTTGTGTCTGTCCTCTCAGTAAGTGAGTGAGACAGTAGACAGCGGTGAGGAGGGCTGTGCAAGTGCATCGCAAAAACACATAAATATGCCTGACACCCATAAACGAAGCAGCATCTGGCTGCAGTTTAAAGACTTTTTTGTCTCGGTCTCGTTTCGACTTTGTCTTGGTCTTGATACCCTCTGGTCTTGGTTACAAGTCTAACAGGAGCCCATTCCCCCACCCCCAGGCAACCACGGCTCTCTAGGGAAACATTAATATTCCCTGTGTGGTTGTGAGTAGTTGCTGGAGGTTGCTTGTTGTCACTAGGTAAATTTGGTCACAAAGGGTTATACAGTGCTAACTGAAAACCTTTGATTGCTTTGGTCACATAAAGACTGCCGCAGTCAACAGTAAAGCCCCTCAGGTACCCAGTATGGAGACAAATTTAGACTACGTGAAAATTCATAGGGACTGTTTTGTGGGCTGACTGGTAAAACACTGTGAAAATGTTATCATCATTTTGATCATTAATTAAATTATGTCCAGTTTTAATGATAGATTACACCTGTTATTACTGGGATGGGAGAAGATAATATATCCATACAGATTAATCACAAAATATAAATTAGAGAGATGTCGTAATTTTGCTGTTTGCTAATCCAAACAATTAAACTAGAACTTGAGCATTTTTACTGACTTGAACACAAACAAAAAAATTTATTTAAAAAAAAAAACCAAAAAAAAAAACCCCTACATTTCACTGCTCATCTACTGTAATAGAAACACTAAAAACCCCTTTTGCTATTAACACTCACCTGAAGCTGCCATAGACAATGAGCAGAATGGAAATGAGGAAGGTGGACACTTGACTGGAGTCAACTAGGGAGTACGCCCTATAGAAGAAAGAGAGACATACAAACATTACTTACGGCACAAATGACTACGCATGGACATTTAACAACAACAAAAGCACAACTGTCTCATTATTAACACAAGATTACTGCTATGTACTGTTGAAGAGCAGAAACACATGAATCTGATAATTAACTGTGCTGCTGTCGATATTTATTTTACCACAGCTTAAGTTTTCAAATTCCTAACACTCAGATGCTGTTGTCAAGCGATTATACTTGATGCTTGTGTGTGTTTATGTTCTGTACTCTCCGGTCACAGCTGTCAGGGCAAAACTCTGGGCTCCATTCACTACATTCAATAGTGAACAGCATATAAAAAAGTATTAAATAGACCAATGCCAGCAACCTCAATGACATCTCACAAACAGAACTGCTAAGAATATGAGGAATATGCGATGAGTTTCACTGCTATAGCAAAGTGGCTGCTGTTCTGGAGAGCAGTCTCACAACTGTGATGCTGATGGGATTTGTTTAACTAAAAATACAGTGGTGTGGCCTCTAACACTTGGCATTATTAGACTTGATATTTCATCAGTTTAAATGTTTTTTTCAATAAGTGCTAAGACATGCAGCAGCCAGGAAAAGGAGACTGAAAATAAGTGTCACATGCTTCAAAGTATGAGCGAAAAGAAAAGAAAGGACCAAAGTCTCTCTTTTTTTTAACCACAAAGGTTAACAACAAAAGTCAAGATGATGCAGCAGGAGACAACAATGTGGAGGAGTTAACTCGAGTGAAAAACTTTTTTTTTTTTTTTTTTTAAAAGAGTTTAGGTACTGCTTTTGCTGTAAAAACAAATCAAACCTTTGTGGTGAAATGCTTCTGCTAGAATCCATATAAATAATAAAGATGTGGTTCGATGACCATTTTTTCCAAGGGTAGCTGCATAAGCAGAGACCACCTTCACTAACAGCCCTGAAACATTACTGAAACTGCTCCTCTAAGGCTTTCAAGGGGTAAAGAGTTAACATTTTTTATTTTGTTGTGTAAAACAGAGTGTCAGTGGGCACATAAAAGTTCAGAAAATGTTTGAATGTCTTTGACTATTAAATTTATTCATTGCGCTCTATATATATATATATATATCTATATATATCTATATATATATCTATATATATATATTAGGGGTGCAACGATATTCGTATCGATATTGAACCGTTCGATACAGTGCTTTCGGTTCGGTACGCATATGTATCGAAAAATACAACATTT